CATGTCTTCAGGGTTTCTGTCTATCATGTCTTCAGGGTTTCTGTCTATCATGTCTTCAGGGTTTCTGTCTATCATGTCTTCATGGTTTCTGTCTATCATGTCTTCAGGGTTTCTGTCTATCATATCTTCATGGTTTCTGTCTATCATGTCTTCAGGGTTTCTGTCTATCCAGTACACTTACTCAATACCATACGGAAGAATCTCTAACATCGGGACAGTTTTTATAATATGTTCTGTAATTTGTTTGTTTGTAATTAAGCACAAAGCTACACAATGGGCTATCTGTGCTCTGCCCACCACGGGTATCGAAACCCGGATTCTAGCGTTGTAAGTCCGCAGACATACCGCTGTACCACTGGGAGGCTTGTTCTGTAATAAACAACACAAAACATAAACATCCCATGGAACATTTAAAAGTATGCGAAAATTCTTTGTTAAATGAATTGTTATGATTTAAAGTTAAAACAGTTTTTTGGGCCATTCGATCATTAAAACTGCAAGTCATCATCTATAATGATATGACTTTAGTCACTCTTGTATACGTGTTTGAAGTATATTTACTTAGCTACAGAAGTACTTTGCGTAAAAGGTATTAATAGTCGCTCGGATAATTGAATTCCTTGTGAAAAGCAAATATGACAAGAGCCGGATTAAGTTTAAGGGTAGCCCTGGGTCCAGGTAACATCAGGGAATAACAGGAATCATAAGAATGATAATAACTCACTCTTGCCTCTATTCTGCTAGTTTTATGAGTCATAAATATTTAATTGGGTGGCCGGAGAGGCCCCTGTATGGCCGGGGTCCTAGCTGACCTATGCGTAGATCCGATACTGGATATGAGTAAATATACTGAACAACAGAGCCAAGATTGATTTATTTCAGTTATTAGTGATTCAAGTATAGCCGGATTATGCATTGGGCCCACTGGACCCGGGCTGAGAAAAAATAAATAGTGTTCTATGTCCACATTCTTGATTAAGTGTCTTTATTTTACGTCTTAGCCAAAAAAATGTTTTTAATTGAGTTTTATATATATTAAATGAATTAAGCAACAATCATTCGGTAGACATTTAAATAAATTAAAATGTTTATAACTTTACATTTCTTATACTGGGATTATGTTTCGTCATTTTGATTAAAATGAAATGCTTTTATCCTTTTTGGTGAAAAATTTATTTAAGCCCTCTATTCGACTATTCAATAATGCGCGAGCCTAGTGCTATGCATGTCTGTTTGTTTTTGTTTTGTTTTTTATTGTGCCTGCTTAACATGTGTTTCATTGATTTTTGTCTGTTTCAACATAACTTTCACATAGATCTGATTTGCTATGATTTTGATCGTAGATGAATTTTTGTTGTTGTTGTTGTTTTTAAGTTAAAGCTACACAATGGGCTATCTCCGCGGGTATCAAAACCCGATTTTTAATGTTATATGTTCTGAGATTTACAGCTGAGCCACTGGAGAGCTCGTTGATAAAGGTCATAATTTACAAATTAAATGGTGGGGACCGTTTTTTCGGGGAACATGCTTGGTTAATCTGCACATTCCCTTGCATTTCCCGAAGAGTAACGCACGTATTAATCCGAGTGTGGCATCGTAATTTATGTACCAAGTTTGGACTAAGAATACAATGAACTAAATTAATTCTATGTATTTGATTTGACAGAAGAAAGGACCACCTGTCGCAGAGTAGTAAACCACAAAACTAAACAGGTAAGTTTGACAAAATTACCAAACATTTAATTTCTTCACAGTGCAAGTTCTGTCCTTTCATCTAACTCGCATGCACTATGACACTGCAGCTGGTATACGAAGCTGTCAAATGGCAGTGTTTATCTTTTTGAAAGTAGATTATCATATAAGAAGTATGTCAGAGTAATATTTCATCATTAAAATTTATTTACAAACAAATTATTAGCGATATCTTTGTAATGTTTTTGTTAAAGCTTTATGCATCGGTGTATGTGAATAAATACTTTTAATCAGTAAATAAAGATATTATCAATACTGTTAGTACTTCGGTGACATGTTTTATATTCCTATCATCATGTTGTGTGGTTAATTTGTTACAGAGAAATGATAAGATGATATGGTTAATTTTGCGTCAATATTACCAGGTAGAAACACGAGTGCAGCGCCAGCTGGTGTACGAAGATGGCAAAATTATTGCAGATAGTGGGCCGCAAATTACAACAAAAACAACAGAAGACAGTCGCACAGAGGAATTTGAAAACACAGACGTGAGTAATTCCATTTTAAATCATAACGGTTATATTATTCACAGGCTTTAAAATTATAGGAAATGTCAATTTCTGGAATACCTTTTACTTGGCTGCAAGAATTACTACATATAACAAAAAATAAATTACTGAAAATAAGACAATAGTCTGAAATAAAATACATTATTTTTATTTTCAATAAAATCTTTAGTGTTATCACTTATACAACGCTTGTGTGTTAGACGTTTTTAGTGTCACGTGTGTGTGTTGTGTCGTAAGGGCAGAGATACGGTTATACTCGATGAGAATCTTTTACCTCGTTAAGCCCTAATAATAAAGTGTTAGGTAACTGAGAGACGCCCCTTTCCCCCAATGGCTTAGCGGCAAGTCTACAGGCTTACGACGCTAAAAATCGGATTTCGATACCCGAGGTGGGTAGAGCACAGATAGCCTACTGTGAAGTTTTGGGCTTAACAACAACCAAATAAAACTGAAAATAGTGACATTTTTTTATTTGGCTTGTAGGACAACATAACGTTTCAATGAAATATTTAATAAGTTATACTTGTTTCTCTCTTCTTTTTTTCTTTGCCCCCAGTGGCACAGCGGTATGTCTGCGGATTTACAAAACTAGAAACCGGGTTTCGATAACCATTGTGGGCAGAGCACAGATAGCCCATTGTGTAGCTTTGTGTTTAACTTCAAACAAACAGACAAAGCTTTTTTTTTCTTTTTTTTTCACTGTTTATTTTCATGAAAATCAATTGAATAATTAGCTGTATTAATACGTTTTGTGAAACCTTAAGGGTTGGTGTAATAATAATTTATTTTTTATTTTTGTTACAACTTCGCGAACAGAACTGAATAATTTAAAGTAATCACTTTAATCGTGTCCGCCACAACTCGAAATGAGCGTCTAATTTTGTTTGTTTGTTCCTGTTTTTCCCACAATGTCCCAGTCGTTTTCTTTTGGTGTCAAAGTTGAAGGTCAGTTAATAAGTCAGTGCATGATAATTAAGTAACAATAGCTTCCGATCAGAATAAGCTTTGTACTTAAAGTGAACTCAAGATAAACCTGGCCATCAGTATAGCTAATTAAGTATACTTTTCAAACATATTGTTGGTGTGAATGTGCTTTATATCAAAATTTAGGTTCTAACTAAGCTTGTATCAGCAGTTCGAATAAAGTCTTTATAAATTCTATGGCTGTTAGTTAAAACTTTTTTGTATTGAAAGGGTTGGTATCACCTGCCTAGCTTCTTTGAATGAAATCCTATGGGGATCATTTCGCATATTGATACTAAAATACTCCGGAAAATTTTAAGTTAATTCCAGCTGATGATTTATTTTTGTAAGTTTATATTTCTACTCTTACTCAGGTGTAAGACACAGTCGTTTAAAGAAGAAGAATTTTATTACTTCTCTTTAATGTTTAAAATGTACCTTTATTTATCTTTACTATTTAATTCGTAAGCAGAACAAAAATCTTGGCAACGATCCTGTATATAAGTTTACGCCTGGTACTTCACGTGTTATTAGCGAGAAAACCGAAACACGTCAAGTTTTAAAAGAAAACAAGGAAGAAAGCATGCAGTTGCGTAATGAAACTTTTCACGAACTAACTGGCCCGGTAAGTAGCGAAATCAAATGTTTCACTGGTGAAAAACGTATGTTGCCGTTTTATCTATCATGAATGAAAACAAGCCCAGACTTGAAAAACATGTATCAATTGAACCATGTTTATTTGTTTTTAATAGAACGAGTTATTATTATTAGTTTGTTTGTAAATGTGTGCGTTTTATGCATACAGTTGTCAAGTTGATACTTACGGTATATTTTGATTTTTTATAAATTGACATTTTATTCTTACACTTAATACATCTTAATAGTAAAATATTTAACACAAGTTAAATATACATTATTAAAATTAATTCACAATAACTATATAAAATGCCCAACTAGTTCTTACGGTTGCCACAAGAGATAACTGATTACAGTATTCTATACATATATATATATTTATCTATAAATAATTTAGGTATTTTATATTTACTCCTGTAAGTAAAGGTCACTGCTTAGGTATTTTTTTTAATTTATACATTTTATACTACTAGTAATTACAAAAGTCGCTGTTTACAATGTTTTAGATATGAATATAACACTGATAATAAATTGGTATATAAGTATAAGGAAAGGTTTTGTTGATGGTGGAACACAATACATGTTTCGACAGACCAGTGATCTGTTTTCCTCAAGCATATAACACTGTTCAAAAACAGGCAGTAATAGTTTCATAATATATCTTATAATGATCATTTTAAAAGTTGTGTTACGTATTTCGATATATTTTTTCACATTTTTAACTTTGCCATTCTGACGCTTTATTTCATTGCATGTTTGTATTTCAAAGTCTTATAAGAGTCGGATATTGATTTATGTAACAACTTCTTGTTCTTTGTATCCTCTTTTCTAGTTTCATTTCTCCTCTCTCTCTCTTTTTCTATCCTTTTGGAATCATATTCCATCTATTAAAATATTTCAATTGTCATCTGAAGTGTAAGTGATTTTCGTTGTTTTCTAAATAAGCTTGTAGATAAACTTAATCTTTGGCTCTGAGAACATAGTAACTTTGATGATTCTTCTCTGTCAGAACTTAAAATTTACCACGCAATTCGTTGATAGACCTAGCCACTAGAGGGCGCTTTTCTTTTTATAGCCATTTGGAAGCCTTGCTTGATCTTACAAAATCCATATATAACATCTAATTTTCAATCTAATTATGATGGTTAGTTATTGAGCCTGACAAACTGATGGATACCGGTTAAAATTCAACATATACACATGAATCCAATACTGCGATTATTTGGTCAAAATTCGTCATAATTTTGGCAGTTTGATTTTTACAAGTCTGAGAATTTTAAAGTTATTATACCCTCAAATTCGTCAAAGTTACTGAATTTTACGAGCTAAGTCAAAAGATTAGGCTTTTGTGTGAATATGCATATTTTTGTAGTGTTTTATCATATTAGTAATCTTATACAAAGCAGTTGTCTAGTTTTACCACAACAAATATTAAAATGTAAATGAAAATTAATTAAGTTCAGTTACATAGGAACTGAAAAAAAAAAACGAAACAAACTTTAACCTTTAAAATCTTTTATCACAAGGAGTTTCACCAGAAGGCGCTGATGTCTCCAGATAATGCATTGTTTATTATAACTGATGACATCGAAAATAACCAGTCCTATCCTGGTAAGGTCGTCCACTACTCCTGTCATTCTCAGAAAATCACGGACAAAGAAGAAGTTAAAGAAGTGTCTGAACTTAAAGATGGTGAACTGAAAACTGAAACCACTCGGACACATCATCACGAAGAACAAGAAGATGACGAAGTGCCGGAAGATGAAGTAGACGAGTCAGCTCTTCCAGAGATCTCCAAAGAAACAATAAAAAACATAGAGTATTATAAAGATGATGGTGAATTCGAAAGTTTAAAGGAAAAGTTGCGTCGTGAACGAGATAATAATATTATTCGAGAGAACCTTAAGGGTAGAAATAAGCCAATAACAAAGAAGACACCAAACTTTGACGAAGAAGAGGTAATTAAAAATAGTGAAACCAATCGTTGGCTGGAAAACCACTTCGGCTCAGATAGCGGAAGTGACGTGGCGGAGCCGATTAGAACTAAAGCTGGTGGAAATGTGATCAATATCCAAATGACAGCTTCCCCACGATCCGCCTCACGGGAAAAACTTGACCCTGATCATGAGGTTAAATATAAAGAGGAATACACGTTTTCTAACAGGCAAGTACAGGATCACAACGTTCCTTCCATTTCCAAACTATTCCAAGATAATCGACCTCTGAACAAAAACTTGAGTAGGGTAAAGGATTGGCATACTAGTCTTCGAAGACTTCCCGAGTCCCATTCTTCTCACTCTTCTGTATTGCCTCGTTCTTCTTCTCCACTAATTGTGCGTGAAAGTGCCGAATCTCCAACAATTCCTGAAACTTTTCTTAAGACTGCTACAACACATCGTCAAATGCTTGCTTCTTCCAAAATACCTGCGAAAAAATACTTCTTGGGTGACAATGGAACATACGAACAACATTATACTAAATATGAACCTCAAATCTTGAAGAAACAGTCATTGGGTTGGAAATCAACTCCTTCCATCACAGATGATTATGTTCATGGCCTGGAAGACAAAGTTAAACATGTAGTCTATAAACAAAAAAACGTTCGATATGAACAAAGATCACCAGAAAGATCTGTTCAACGATCCCATCCTCCGACGGAAGTCCCTAAAAACTCTCAAGGAGTACAGTAGTTCAACAACGTCAAAAAATACTTGTTTTCATGAAAGTAACGCACCAGTCTCTATGACTATACCTCGAGAGGCGATCTTAATAGTAAATGATAAAAGTGATCGTAAAATCTACAATACTTCTGAAGTAAAACCTCAACGCAAAATTCAGAATAAAAGTGACCTCTGTGTTCAGGTTGATTTATCAGACGAAGAAAGTCGACTTTCAACGCTCCCTAATAAACCTTTTATGTCATCGGTTCGTAGTAACAGGAGACGATCTTCACCTCCACTTTATACTTCTTATAATCAGGCCGCGAAATATTCTTCGAGATTTTTGGTTAAAAAATCACCTTCCAACGAAGAAGAACCACATGCTCGTGTTTTTAATGTTAACATTTCTTCATTTAAACCATGTCGAGCATTTTACTTTGGAGACGAAAACGACGCTGGTCACCACCCTGTCAAGAAAAATCAAGATGATGTAAATGGGGGAATTAGGCCGTGTGGTACTGACCATAAATATCTAAACCGGAGCGCTTCATGCTCTACCGATAACAGTTATGTAAGGGACAACAGCTCCAGCCCCGGCTACCTCGAAAGGCTCTATACATTAGTGAAAGATTCTGACGTGACTTGTCGACGGTCTGACATTCATAGTAGTATGGGTGACTTACGAGAATCCTCACTTGATGATTATGGCCATACTACAAGACAAACTTTTGTGAACTCTGGAGCTAATGGTAAAAGCTATTATAATGGAAACGTAGATATAAGTGACGGATGTAGTAAAATAATTCATTCTAGTAATGATTGCAGCCAAACCTACGATAACAATAGCTATCTCAATGACAAGAAATACCAATACCAAAACACCAACGGCAGTTATATCAACGTCTCAGTTACTTCCAAGAAGAATCAGACAGCAAGTGAAATGAAACATCACAATATTAGACGAAACCGATTCGACTCTAGTGAAATAGACCTCACGTCTTTGTCAGATGATTCCAGTGTGTACACGAACAGCAGCAGCAACAGAAGACAGAGAACAGTCAGTGATAAGCCTCCATCTTTACCGAAAAAGTCAAGCAGCCTTTCTTCCACGTCACTATCTGTCTCACTACCTTATTTGATTAAAATTAGCCAGCCAAGAAAATACGAAATTTCTTCAACGTCATCCTCTCCCAATTCTCCTTCAGTGTCGGTATCCCAATCCACTCCATTTTCCCAGAGTGGAGGCCTTTTTCAAAATCTTTCAAACACTAAAACCAGATCAGCTAGTAAATCAAGCGGATATTCCTCGATGGTAAGCAATCAGACTCAACTCTCGAGATCCATGTTCCCATTCCCATTCTTCTCACCATTAACCAGTCCTCAAGAAATAAAAAACTTGTCGAGCAGAGAAAGGTTGGACCAGTCTAAATGGTCTAGGGAACATGAAATAAATTCGACGAGAGTTGTTTCAATAAAGTAGGACAGATAGGGATGTCCGCATTGAAGTTAGAAGGCCTGAATAGGACGAAAAAAAATGCTATCAAAATTTCACTGCTAAGATTTCAGAAAGTTAATCGGACTCTAGGATGAAATATTCAAGACAGAAGCCTAGTAAACAAAAAAATCTTAACAGTAAACTAAAGGTTATCCGTTTTTTTATGTGAAGGTTTTCAGCACGATTATTAAATACCTCACTATCAACAGTCACAAATATTATAAGATGTTTTGATATTTTACTAATCTTCAACATAGCAAATCTGATGTTCGTTTTTCAATATGTTAAAATTTTATAGGACTACTGTGATTACTAACGCATATAACGTCAACCCCTTGAACTGGGGTTCATAAGTTTCAAAAACCCCTTTGTTAAGAGTAATGTAAGAAAAGTAAATTTCTGGAAACAGAAAAAGGGTTTAGGATAGAACTTTGCTTCAAGGTAGTTGATTGAGGCAGTTTACAAGATTCTAATTTCTTCTAAAATAATGTTCTTATAAAGTTTTTAATAAATTTGTGTGAGAACTCTTATCTATTTGATGTCTTATGGTCATTGCAACACAATGCTACTTATAGTAATATATGGGAAACATAAAATCATTGGAATCGAAACTAAAGACAAAATATTTATTTTTTTTCATAAAAGGTTCAGCCTGTATACATCTGTATATTTAATTATTTCTTTGCTATTTATGTATATTGTTGCATTTATGTGTTTTGTATTTATTGCGGACATATTTTAGCGCCCTCTTGTATTCAAAGTTCAAAAAGGATGATATTTTTTAGTGAACTAAAATTATCTGTTTTTCAGTCTTTGTAAAATAATATTGTATGTTATTTATCATTATAATTTATCCGTTACTAAAAGAATGAAGCTATTATATAATTCTAGTTTATAAAACTGTGGATATCATCATTTCCCTGTGGCTACCTACTTTTTTCAGATGCTCTATGGCAAATGTTGCACCGACGATCGACAACAAGGTCTATATTATTTTATTGCTTCATCGATTAACGTTACAGTTTATTGCGAAGTTATGTAGAATTAAATGGAACTAGATATTTGTAAGTTTATGTTGAATCATAATTTTCGAGAATATTAACGTGTGTTATACGTATTGAAATCAAATTAGAATACGCCCGGAAATCATGTTGTGTGTTTATAGAAAAATTATAGGTAGATGAGTTTTTAAATTCCTGTTTTAAAGACAAATTTATGTTTGGTTTTGATGTTGATTGAAAAAAGTACAAGAAAAGAATTGATAAAAACACATTTAAAAGCACCATCTAATAATATTATTCTTTGCCTACACATTGAACATTTTGAGAATAGATATAGTTAATATAAGAAAGAACATTAATGACAAAATTGATAACAAAGAATAAAGTCTTGCTATATCTTCTACTTATATTCTTAATTTTTGCTATGCTCATCAGTATAAATATGTGAATATTTTAAAAATTATTCTCGATGTGTTCCACTAGTTCTTGTTTTATATAAAACCTTCTTTAATTTTAAAATGTCCCTCTATATTTAAGAACTGTACTAATGATAAGCAATATTTAAAGGGTACAAAGAATTAAAAGGTTAAAATTCGAGGAACTTATGTATATATTTTAAATATTAAAATCCAAAAACGAACAGTTTTTTATAATATGCAATTAAAATCTTTATTTAAGGCGATCAACGGTTGTAAAAGTCGCTATACATGTTTCAACGTGGTTTCACACTCCTGAAGATGACGGTTTCAATAAAGATTTTAATTGGGTATTATAAAACACTGTACGTTTGTGGATTTTAATATTTTATGGTACAAAGTATATTCGTTTTGAATAACACTACATAAATTTAAAAATCTTATGCTCTCAGATATAAAGTTATAAACAAACAATTTCGTGGAATTTAATTTCACCACTAGGTGGTTTTCGAAATAATTGCTCATAACTGGATTAGAAATGTTCGAAGATGAAAAGGGTTTTAAGTGCATCTTCTGCAAGAGTCACGTTTGAAATACTAACAACCGTTCGTTTTTCATTATTTGTGAGCTTTAAGTTTGCTCGTTGATTATACAGTTGATATCAGTTATCATCTCACCATTAACACATAATTCGTTTTCGGTGACTTTTGAATTTATTATAGGAATCGCACCATAATCGTCACGTTCCATTGTATGAAGATGGAATTGTGTAAAATACATGCATGCAGTTATGTTTTTTGTATAGAAATATTTTATCAAATGAAACAAAAACGAGTACCTTATCACATGAAATAAATAAATGAAAAGTTTTTTTCAAAGCTGATAACTTATCAGGCTAAAGTATTATAATTTACTAACTTTACTTATTTGTTGATAGATATTTCAAACTAGCAAATATAAACATCGTTAAGATTTAGGCTTACTAAAGCATAGAGAATACTAAAGCTAGTTGCTGATTAATTTAATTCAAAGGAATGAGCTGATAGTTTGAGTATACTAGCGTACCTGTCACACTTCGACAAGTTCTTCAAGTTGTAGACTACTGAATGATACTTTATGCCACGTATGCTACAACATATCTGACATCATGGTGTCCCTCATGAACCTCTGCGATCAAATGCTGAATGTAGTTTATTTTCAAAGATACAGCATTTACTGAAATCCCATAAAAACGTCATACCCGTTGGATTCATCCTCAATGAATTAAGGGTGGTTAGGGCGCTCGACTCGCAATCTGAGGGTCGCGGGTTCGAGTCCCCGTCCCACCAAACATGCTCGCTCTTTCAGCCGTGGGTACTTTATTATGTGACAGTCAATCCCACTATTCGTTGGTAAAAGAGTAGCCCAAGAGTTGGCGGTGGGTGATGATGACTAGCTGCCTTCCCTCTAGTCTTACATTGCTAAATCAGGGACAGCTAGCGCAGATAGCCCTCGTGTAGCTTTGCGCGAAAACCAAACCAATGATTTAAGGTCCCATGGAAATTGAGCCTATAATTTTTCACAGTTGGTCATTAAATGCCTCGCCAGGTGGCGCAAACGTTGCGGACCCAAAGTCCAATGGCCCTGTCATTAGATTACTTACGTCAACGTTGCAAATTCGAGAAATTACAGGGTAGCCACTTTGTTTATGAACACAGGTAGCGCTACCTGTGAAGACGCAGCTTAAACTGTTGACCTTATTTGCTCTAAGACAACACGTTTAAGCTGAAGCGTGATTAAATTGCTATTTATGAGAAAAACTACAACTAGTTACGGAGGTAACGGTTGTCATAAAAACAAAAATGTACACAAAATCAATGCATTTTGGATCAATATTTAAAATAAGAATATATTGTAAACTTTATTTGCTGCAAGTAGGCAATTTGAGGCCATGGATGCATTATAAGACTGACAGTCAGGTACCACTGTTGGGTTCTATGGACTAGATCTCATTCCTCTAGTTTATTAGCCCAACGCTAGAACGTCTGTGCACAGATTGTCCTTTATTAGCTTTGTGCGAAAAGTCTAAAGAAAACAAAACTTTGTTACTCGTATAATGTTTTATGTTGCTTGTTACTT